ATAACAAAAACATTCGGGCTTTTGTTTGCAAGCAGTACAGTAATAATTAGATATATTTAGGCCTCACGTGGTAATAAATTAGACATGGAGGAAGAAGCTAAGTCCCAGAGAGGTTGGTGATATGTCCACGGTCACCCAGTTACCAAGAGCAGGGCTGAGGCTAAGAGCCTGCTAGGCTCTGGCCTTTAACTCTGAAGTCTCACGTATTCAATGTTCTTCATAGTTCCTTTTTGGGAGCTTACTTCCTTTTTTTTTCTGCAGAACCGGGGATCGAACTCAGGCCCTTGCGCTTGCCCAGGAAGCACTTATTCTACTGAACCATCTCCCTCAGCCCTTTTTTTTTTTTTTTTTTTTTTTTTTGCAGAACTGGGGATTGAACTCAGGCCCTTGCGCTTGCCAGGGAAGCACTTTTTTTTTTTTTTTTGTCTTTTTGAGACAGAGTGTTGCTATGCAATTCAGGCTGGCCTTGAGCTCACTTTGTAGCCCAGATTGGCTTCGTACTCCCAAGGATCCTGCTGTCTCAGCCTGATGCTCTCTGTACACAGCTACCCTGTGCCACTGTCCGGAGGACTGTGGGTCTAGCTGGGGCTCCGTATGCAAGTAGCACATGCAAGGTCTGGGTTCAGTCTCCAGTGGGGGCCAGAGGTGGGAGTGAGAAACAGGATGGGAAAGTCAATCATGGAGCTGGGGAGATAGCGCAGCAGCATAAGCGCCTGCCTGGCAAGCACAAGGTCCCACGTTCGATCCCCGGTACCAAAAAAAAAGGTAAATTACGGTACACATATACAATGAAATAACACGCAGCTGAAAAAAAGAGCAAGGGGGGAGGCAAGATAGCTCAGCAGACTAAAGCACCTGCTTAGGCAAGTGCAGGGACTGGGGTTCGAACTCGGCCCTGCCCTAGGGTGTGCTGAGCCAGCCACTGAGACCAGGTATGGTGGCATATGCCTGTAATCCCAGCTTGGGGGAGGCTGAAAACAGTAGGATTACTATGAATCCAAGCTGTGTAGTGAGACCCTGTACCAAATACATAAAAATAAATAAATGAAAGTCAAAATTATAAATGGTCCCAGAGGGTTTGGTGGCTCACACTTACAATCCTAGCACTTGAGAGGCTGAGGCAGGAGGATCACTATGAGCTCGAAAACAGCCTGGGCTCCATAGTGAATCCAAGGCCAGCTATGTAGTGAGACCCTGTCTCGGGGGGGGGAGGGGAATCCCAAAAACTATACTCCCTTGTACAACAGCATCATTGCTTTCTCTTTTTTTGGCAGAACTGGGAACTGAACTCAGGCCCTTGCACTTGCCAGGCAAGCGCTTATTCTACTGAGCTATCATCTCCCCGGCCCAACCGCATCATTGCTAACGCTCCCCAAATTCATAATACATCACAGGCTGAACAGCGTCAACCTGAGAAAAGGTACTGGAAGTGAGTTTCCCACAAACGGGAGCTGGCTTCTCATGTTCTACTTAAAAGTATAGCAAAGAATAAAGGTATGTCAAAAGAGTAAGCGTCTCTATAGGCATTGGAGCCTCAATGACGCAGATTATGTACACAGTAAGTCTCCAATTTACGAACATTTGAGAATTTTCACAGATCCAAACGGACCTTGTATTGCGAATACGTCTAGACGTGACCACCACAGTGGTGCCCAGGTCTGCCTGTTGTGCTGAGTTGCGTGCTTACTCCACCCTGCGATAGTGCATGGAAGACAGTGCTCAGGGCCAAGGGTAGAGCTCGGCGGCACAGCGCCTTCTAGCAAGTACAAGGTCCTACAATTCCCAGGGCTGGAAAAGTAAAAAGTAGAGTGCCCAGGATGTTTGGGAGCAGAAGGAAAAGCAGTGACATGGAGGGGACTGCTAGGAAGCCAAAGCAGTAACTATGGAAACAAGTGAAAATACTGTACTGCACCATCATTTAAAGTTCAGTGTCAAAGGAGGTTTTCTTATAGTGTTTCTGTGTCTTTTTGAGCTTTACAATGTATATCTGTGTCAAAGGTGTGTAAGACTCACTTTTATCAGAAGAACCTGGCAGGCAGGGACTATGCCCTGCCACCTCGGCCTCCCGGGACAGCCACCGCCTGGGCCATACCCACCCCAGGGCCTCTGATCTATCCCTTCTATTTTTTTTAAATTTTTTTCTTTAAAGCAGCTGTCATAATATTCTCTTTGTATTGTTTTCACCTTTTTTTTTTTTTTTTTTTTTTTTTAGGACAGGGTCTACAGGGTCTCACTACACAGATCAGACTCAGTGATTGTGTTTACAGCCTCCCAAGTGCTGGGATTACAGGCATGCGCCACCATGCCCAGTCTCAATCACTATCTCAGTGCACCCTGGGGGTGGGGGCCAGGGGTCACAGCAGGCACGGGGATCCAACTCCCGGCCCCCGTGTGCGCCTAAGCAGGTGCTTTAATCCACTGAGCTATCCGACCAGTCCTGCTAATTTTTAACAATAATTTTTCTGTGTTTAACCTAACGTCCTCTCCCCGCCCCCATGCTGTTATTTTTTTCTTTTTGGTCCTGGGGACTAAACACACAAGCATGTCAGACATGTGCTCCACCGCTGCGCTGCACACTCTCCCAGTATTTCAGCCAGTAATTATGAAGACAGAAATGAAGACCAGAGACTGCAGGACCAGAGTGTTCTATTTGAAGGGGAAAACTAAAATTAAAAAAAAAAAAAAAAAGCCAAGCAGATATGTGAGGCAGGTCTAAACATAACACTTCTCCCTTTATGTACACCTTTGCTGCCTTCATAACGAGGACCTTGCAATGTAATTCCAAATGTAACAGGCACATCTTCCTTTTGGAACCCATGCCTGTATAACTGGTTGCCTTGCAGTGTAACCTGCGATGCAGAAAGTCCCTCGGCAGCCCCTGATGTCACCCAGCCCTCCAATCTGCCTTTGTACTTTCCACCCTCACTTTCCATAAAAGCTGCAAAACCCTACCAGGCAGGGCTCTGACTCCTGAAGTGATCCTAGTCAGAAGCCCACCGGTGTAATAAACTTCCTTCCAAAGCTCCTCAGTGCTGTTTTTCCCATGATTGGTCTATTTTCTACAACAAATTCAAAAAAGGAAACAACTTCCAAGTTGCTAAGTCCATAGTTTCCAACCCTTTTTGAAAACACATGGGTATAAAGAACTCCGTGCACCTCTGCAATCCCAGCTGCTCGGGAGGCTGGGGCAGGAGGGCTGCAAATTCAAGGACACCCTGGACAACTCAGTGAGCCTGTCTCGAAAGAAAACAGGCTGTAGCTCAGCAGTAGAGTGTGAGCTTAGCATGAAGGAGGCTCCGAGTTCAATCCAAAGTAAAAGACACACAGACATACATACCCACTCACTCGCACACATGCAGACGGAGCAGTTCTCCACGTAGCTAGGAAAGGGGCGAAGATCGTCCCCGGTGACTGAGGGCTGATGCGCTGTGTCCACCTGAGGCGTCTCGGAGCTAACCTAAGCAGCCAGCAGTCCTACGTCGTGGTGTGAAAAGGACACGCCGTAAGCTCTAGGACGTTCCTCACTGTGTCAACTCGCGCTTACCTACGTGCCTCAGCAGGCCCGGCTGGGAGCCTCAGTGTGCCAGCATCCTGAGCTTGAGCAGGAGGAGGGCTGAGGCACCGAGGCGGCGAGGGCTGGACCCAGCGAGGGCAGAGCCTGGCACAACACAAGGGAGGACAGCAGCTCGCTCCCCCTTTGCTCCTGCTGCCCTTGCTGTCTTCCGCTGTCTGAACTGCCTCCCTCTGCCACACCACTCTGCCTTGGAGGCAGCTGATTATGGACTGAAACCTCTCCTTCCCTCAGCATGGTGTCGGTTACTCTGTCTCAGCAAGAGAAAAGCAAGCAAGACTATGACACCTACCAGACGACTCTAAATGACCACCTTCAAGGTCCTCTATTTTCCTTCCTTCTAGTCACTGGTAATCAAGGGCACCACAGATTGTCCTGCACTTTTCTCTCAAACACCAAAACGAGTTTTCTTTTTATTTGAAAAGGGAAAGTGATTTACAGAGAGACAACTTTTTTGTCTGAGACAAGGTCTCACTACATAGGCCAGGCTAGCCTTGCCCTCAATGGTCCTCCTGCTTCAGCCTCCCATGGGCCTCCACAGGGACAATTTTTATTTTTTATTTTTTTTAGGGAGGGGTCTACAGGGTGTTCAGGGTCTCACTACTAGATCGTAGTGATCCGCCTGTTTACAACCTCCTAGCTGAGCTATTTGGCCTGCCCTCTGGGGACCATTTTTTTTTTTTGCAGAACCAGGGATTAGGGGCTGGGGAGATGGCTCAGTGGAATAAGTGCTTCCCTGGCAAGCGCAAGTACCTGAGTTCAATCTCCGGTTCTGAAAAAAAAAAAAAAAAAAAAAGAACCAGGGATTGAACTCAGGCCCTTGCGCTTGCCAGGGCAGCGTTTATTCCACTGAGTCACCTCCCCAGCCCCAAAATCAAGTTTTGTTTTGTTTTGTTTTTTTCCAGAACCAGGGATTGAACTCAGGCCCTTGCACTTACCGGGCAGGCACTTATTCTACTGAGCCATCTCCCTGGCCCACACTTATTTTCCTGAGCTATCAATTTTTAATTAAAAAAAGAAAAGATGGGTTGGGGATGTAGCTAAGTGGTGCAGTGTTGCCTGGCAAACATGAGGTCCTGAGTTCAATTCATAGTACCCAAAAAACAAAAAAAGATAAAAAGCACAGAGCTCTCAAAAAAAAATCACTGTCCATGTGCTGTGGTTGTTGTGGCAGAGAAATCTGGGCACATCTCTCATGCCAGCTAATGGACGGGACCCCGCCCACCGCACACCCAGGCAGTGGAGCAGGCTGGAGCCGGGGCAGACCCCATCAGGTGCACCATGACCTTGGCCTGGCTCTCCAGCTCACGCACTCTGAAGTCTATCATCGGATCCACTTTCTTGGCTGTGAGCTATGAGCTGCCAGTGTTTACCTGGGAGACTGTCTGGGAGCTGAAAGGGAAGGAAGACAAATACACCAAAGCTCAGCTGAGCAACCAACCGGTTTTATATTTTATTCCCAAGAAATGACATCTTGTTTTCACAAAAAAGAGATGAGCTAGACTCAAAATACAGGCTATCTTCAGTAGCAGCCATGGGCCACACCCTAATGTCCAAAACGAAGGTCAACAGCAGTGTTTCTCAGATATCAAAAACGGTAACAACAAATTAAAACAGGATGATAGCGCACTTAGCCAGTGGTGAGGCAGTCTGTTAGGTACCCCAAAGCAGCCAGTGCCTCAAGTCCCAACGAAGCTCCAGACATGAGGACAGCTGGCTGGCCACTGTGGGCAGCAGGGGACACTGGGCTTCCGAAGTCTCTGTACCACATGGCTCTCAGGCGACACCTGCAGGGCCAGGTCATGCGAGGCGGACTTCTGCAGCCTGCCTCAAGTGCCATGCCATGGAGCCTCTCCAACACAGCAGTCTTCAAGACACCCTCTTAGCTGTGGAAAGGCACACAAAGCCATGAGCCTTCGTCCCTGGCCAGCCTCCCTGCTCCCGCCACCCAAGGCTGTTCCCATCAGCAGCCAAAGTGAAGAGAGAAGTCAGACCTAGCCTCCCAGCTCAAAGTTTGCTCCTGTGGGCTGAGTCCAGCCTGGCCGGGCTTCGAGCACTGTCCCACTGCCCCCCACCAGCCAGAACCAGTCTACCTCAGGACAACATGGGGAGCGCTTGTACCTGCCTCTCCTGCACCAGTGTCTTAGACATGTGCACTGCTCCTCTGAGTCTGGGCCCTTTGTGCCCTGGGGCTGCTGGTGTGATCCTCCAGACCCTCCCTCCCTTCCTCAGTTCCACAGACCACAGAAGCTGTAGCTCACAGACCTTACTCTGCTGGGGCGCCCACAGGTGACAGGACGGTCTTACCAGCAGCCTCCACCCAATACGAGAGCACCAAGGGAACTGCGGAGTGGAATTTCAAAACACCTGAGCTGAAAATCTCTGTACTAAAGGAGCAGTGTCTTATTTCTACATCTTTTGCCATTTTCTTTCCTAAGCAGAACCCACAGAAATTGCCAGAGAACACCAAAAGTAAGTGTGGTGCTGGGATGTAGCTCAGTGGTAGAGCACTTGCCTGGTGCACGCAAGGCCTTGGATCTTCTCCCCAGGACTGGAAAGAAGAAAGTGACAGAGTTAACATGCTGTGAGGGGGCCAGGGAGATAGCTCAGTGGAATAAGTGCTTGCCTGGCAAGGTGCTGAGATCGATCCCTGGTACCATCAAAAAAAACATGCTGTGAGCCAACTACCTACCACTGATGAGAGCAGAAGGAGCAAGAAGGGTGCACTCCACTCCCTCAGCAGCTCACCCACGGTGAATCTCCAAAGCCTTTTCCCTTGAGAAGAAATCCCACATCAGGATTCCAGCAAGCCACAAGTACCATGAGACTGGGCTCTGGATGCCTACCATCCGCCCCCCTCCTGAGAATGCTTTCCCAAGCAGGGGACCAGCCATGCTCACACCTCCTGTATTCCCAGAGTTTACGCGAGGTCAATGGCTCACGAGGAGCCCCTCCCCAGCCAGGACACAAAACTTCATCAGGGTGACAGGGAAGCACATATACATCTCCCCAGGCCCTGGGCATCCCCACAGAATGTGAGGAACAGCAGTTCTGAACCAGAGCCCTGCCACAGGGTCAAAGCTGGCATCACTGCCCTTGCCAGTCCTAGTTCCCACACTCTTGAGATTAGACCAGTTTCCACTGCAGCTCTGGCTCGGGCATGTCCCCTCCTATCTCAGCGCTCAGCAGCTCTGTCCACGCCTAGAGAAAACCTCAAAGCTGCATGCACTTGATAACTGTATACACCAAATTGGCTGCCAGAACTGCTCTTGCAGGGGCTTGCTGTGGGCAGCTGTGTTACTGTGCAGCCCCTCCTGTACTGACATGGCCAAAAGCTACACAGGGGGGTTTGTATGCACTCACACAGGTACTCCGCACACCCTGTGTAAGGGGTGCAGATGTGAACTTGGGACACTGCTCTTCTCTTGTTCCCAGAGCTTCATCAAGTCACCCACAGTGTTTGGAGTTGGGAGAAGGAACCCAGGCAGAGGGCTGGGCAATGAATGCAGCACACTGGCCACACCCTGGCACCCAGCACCCAGCGGCAAGGTCACGACCTGGTCCTAGACACACCCTGATTCCAGGGTCATAGTCTTCTAAGAGAGTAAGGAAACAGCAGCAAGCAAGCATCACAGGGCCGAGGGATGTCTCCTCAGCCATGGCGCCTCCTCCCAGTCTAGTGTCACACAAGAGCTGTCTCATATGGGCAATGGGCAGGAGTCACTGCTTTTGAATTCCTTCTGCTCGGGACACTCTTGCTCAGGAAACTCCTGCTTGGGAAGCTTTGAGGCCCAGTTCCAGGCACAACCTCTACAGTTCTCTCTTCCATCTCTACCTACCCAGGTCAAATGAAGGGGCCCTGCAGGAGCAGCCCACACCACCTCCCTGCCAGGGCGTGCTGCAAGGCCAAGCCAATGCCTGGTCAATCCCTCACCCTGATGTCTGGTGCTACACCCTCTACGTGACGAGAGGCAGATAGGAAAGCAGTGGGGCTCCACCAGAACCAGACCCTTGGAGGTGAACCTTGCTGCTGATGCAAAATTGGGCAAAAAGCAGGACACACAGAGTTCAGCAATGAGGTGGGAAACAATGGTTCTCAAGAACGGAGCAAAGGCGGCTGCACCCACCAGCAATGTCCTCCCTGACCCGAGGGGCTCAGGCATATCTCCTGCTTACACTCACACCCCAGGGCTCTGTCAAGCTTGCCATCTCCAGTGTGCTCAACACCCAAGGCTGCCTTCCCACCACAGAGCCACCTAAAGCCCTGGCACCACAGTGAGCAACCGGTACCTGCTGAGGGGCCGAGAGAAAGGCAGCCAGGGACAGAGATCCCACTCTTCCTAGTTTGGCTTTTAAGGCCTTCCAGCTTCTTTTGATAGGAAGCTTGTTAGTAAACACATTAGGATCCCCAAAGACAGCACAGTAGGGCTGCATTTATGTCTCTTTACCATCTTATTACCTATTTGTATACTTAAGGTACAACCCTTATGAGCAGGACATGACTTGCATGTGTTTTCTCTAGGCATTCTCCCAATGTGAAACTGTCTTGTACGCATTTTATTTACAAGTGCCTACTCAAATGGTTTATTTTTTTTGTCTTCGAGACAGTGTTTAGCTATGCAGTTCAGGTTGGCCTTGAATTTGCGGCGATCCTCCTGCCCCAGCCTCCCATTGCTGCGATTACTGGTGTGTGCCACCATTCCTGGCTCTAACTCACAAGATTCTGCAACACTCAGACAGCAACTAAACTGTCTTGAGCAACAGCACCACCTAGAGATCCATACAGCAAGCCATCTGACTGTGTCTTTCCTTCCTTTGCTGGGACAAGTTCAAGCTAAGATCTGAATCCCGCTGAGCCTCCCAAGTAGCCAGGTATGCACCACCATGTCCAGCCAGATGTGTGTTTTTCAATCACATTGTTCTTAAACTCCCCAACAACCAAGACACACACCCCTAAGCTTCCACTTCCCCGACATGCAATAGTGGAGGTTAACTCTACTTCAACTCCCCCACAGCCATGTGAACTCCCTTTACTCTCTCACATTTCTCCCAATTGCCCAGCCTGAGAGTTATTTAATTGGAGGTGGGACATGGCTCAGTGGTAGGACATCTGCCTCATATGCAAGCAACCCTGTGTTTAGAGCCCCAAAACAACTAATAGCTGTTGTGACTTTCTCATTCAATAAAAAAATAAAAGGTACATAAACAAAACCTGTTGAAATCTGGAAGTGGAACAGTCCTTCATTGAGGGGGCAGATTCCACACTCACTGACCTTTCCGTTCCCTAATGAGGACGGTTCTTCGTTCCTTCACTTCAGAGCCCAGCTTATCCACCATTTTATCAATGCAATTGTCTAGAACCAGGGAGTGGGTTTTGGACTTGATGTTCTTCCGACAAATGGGGCATTCTATCTTCCGCTTCATCCATTCACTGATGCAATAGGAGCAAAAGCTGTGGGCACAGTTCAAGGTCACAGCCTACAATGCAAACGGAAAACACAAATCACATCTGTCATGCTGACCCGCTCAAATTTAGAGCAGGAGCTGGCTTCCTGGGGCCAGGGAAAGCCACTGCAGTCTCACCTGGAGATGCCCAAAGGTACTCATCCCAGGTGTTCTCGGGGTTGGGAATGTGAAGTTTCATGCTCAGGATTCATTTCCTCCTTTCTCAGGTGTCTTAAGCTCATGTAAGATCACAGACTCAGTTAAGGTCAGAGTCAAGCCCCAGGTAGCTGACTGGCCTGCTTTATTCCACAAATGCCAGCTGTGGGTTAACCACCTTGCAAACAAATGCCACTGGATGTAAGTGGTAGTAAGCATGTGACTGTTACAGTACAAATACTTCATGTCCAAAGTTCTCTTATGAAAAACATGCATGTTCTGCTACTGCTGAACCAGTACTCCATTATTAACAGGCCAAGGGGAGCTGATACTGAATACTCAGAGCACTGGGAGTTATCATCCCTAAAGACTCAAAAAGTAAAATAATATAAAAGGCCTCTAAAAGGCTGGGTGATGGGTTGGTGAGATGGCTCAGTGGTCTAAAGCACCTACTTGGAACAAGATTAGCAGAGCACAGAGA